CATACATGTGTGTATAACATGTCGACTTGTAAATAATGAGAGTGTAACACTAACTAAATAATTCCATGAGACACTATGATATGTAGGACTTGGCTCAATTGACAGGGTGTGAACTAATATCAATTGGGATTAGAGTCTCCAAGAACTCTCGTGTAATAGCCCAAAAATAAATAAACAAATAAAAAGTTAAAATAATAATAATTAATTAATTAATTAAAAAAATTAAAATTAAAAAAAATAAAAAAAAAAAAAATTCCCCCACCTTTCTCCACTAACCTCTCATCCCTTCCCACAATTATCTCTCCTCTACCCCTCTTAAGCCAACCGCTAAAAAAAAAGAGAAACAGAAAACCTGCACAAGAAAATGAAAAAACAGAAAACAACAATGGTCAGATCTGAGAAGAAGTACAATGACTATTGCAGATTTAGAGATTTTTGTCAGTTATTACGGTAAAATCCTATCTCAGATTTCCTTTTCCTCTATATTTTATAAGTATGGTGATAAGAAATTAATTTAGGATCAAATCTTCTTTCCTATCTATGTAATAATCAGATCCATATACAATTATTAGATTTTTGTTAGCATTTTAATCATATAAAATAAGGTGATAAGTTAGATTCAATAAAATTATAGGTGGCAAATCTATAAACTAAAAGATCCTAGTCTGCATTTAAAATTGGTCAGTAATATCAGTTTACACAATTGAAAAAGCTATTTACAGAATGAAAAAGATTAGAGAGAGAGGGAGGGAGATTGAGGAAAGATTTGTTAAATAGTATTTAACAATAAAAGGAAATATCTTACTGCAGTGAGCTCCTTTCAATTTTAAAACCTATTTACCCAATGAAAAAGATTAGGGAGAGAGGAAGGGAGAGTAAAGAAAGATTTGTTAAACAGTATTTAACAATAATAGGAAATATCAGACGTCAGTGAGCTCCTTTCAATTTTGTGTAACAGAAAACATTCATAATTTTCATCAGAGGGCAGTGAGCTTCTTTGAATTTTGTCCAACAGAAAATATTAGAATTTTAAGATGACCAATGTAAATTAGAGTAATAATTTTATAGAGTTAAAACTTAAAACTGATGTCATGAGCTCATATAGGTTGACTCGGATGTCAAAGGACGGAATCGAACTTTCATTAAAGATATATTTGTGACAACGACTTAAGCTATCCAAGTAAGTGACCTTACTATCGGCATGGTTATTTTTTTTGATGTTGACACGTGCCCTGTGGTTCTGCACGTGTCATATATATTGATATGTGTGAATTGTTTGTGGATCGATATGCTTCCTATATGTTATGTTATGTTATATAATATGTGGTTTGTATGATAATAATTATGGTACGATGTGTTCAAGGATATGTTTGAGATATGATACGAGAAGGATGCACAAAACAAAATGTAACGATAGAAGTAAGTTACGTTCATGAAACGTTAAGGTCAGACTACATACCGGAGTGCTATGGATAGGATAGATTGATGAAAGAACACGGTTAGGTTATGGGTAGAAAGGGATATGTTTGTGATAGATTGATAGAACGATAGTGTTATGGTAAGTTAGAGAACGATAGAAGGGTTTATGTTATGACCTGTTTATGATATGGTACATTGTATGCTAGATTATTGTGCTTAAGTACGAAATCATGTAAACGTGAATGTATGTTATGCATGCTGCTTAGTTGATGTGATATGAATGCATGTGACAATGTGTGGCCCTTGTACGATTATGGCTTGTTATATGAGTATTGGAATGTGACTGAATGAATTGTATGACATGAAATACGGTAAGTCGCATGATACATAACCCCGCTAGGAATATGTATGATATGTAACGAAATGAGAATCAGAATGACATGTAAGCATGAAAACGTGACACGGGGTTATGTTCATTAAATGATGACTGTAGGACTAGTGGGACCTCATGCATATTGTGTGATCATGCATTTGGGGGATACCCCTATCCCATCACGAGGGTACGGACGCGTACATCCAAATGGCAGGACAACGATCGTTATGCTCCGTATAGCGCTGCCGTGATAGTTTTAGTTTTAACGGGTCCCGGTGGGCCCCCAGAGCATGCCCACCGGCTAGGGACAGTGGCCCAGCGGTGTGCGAACTAGCTGGTGAGCCCATACTCGCACGTATGGGCTGCGTGTAGAGTATATGGTACACGTCCACAATTACCTGTTAGGATTACATCGTTGGGAAAACGAAGCGAAACGAAACGAAACGAAACGAAAAAGAAACGAAACGAAAAAGAAACGAAACGAAAGATAGGTTCCATCATTTCATTGCATGTGATTGTTGCATTTAACCCCAATAGTGGGGTCACTTACTGAGTATTTTCTTTAAATACTCAAGCCATGTGCTACTACATTTTTCAGGTTAAGGCAAGGCATCCCTGTACGGCTGACGACGGCATCCCAACTCGAGATCATGGCACATGCATAGGATAGTGACATTTATTTCTTAGACTTAGGATAAAATAAGATGTTTTAAACTTAAACGCTTGTTTATTTTATTTCGAGTTTTTTGTTGTGTCGTTTTAAAAATGTTTTCGAAACACGTAAGTTCATGACAGTGTTTTAAGTTAAAGGTTATGTCATATGGAATTTAAATGAAGTCTTCCGCATTCAATGTTTATGGTATGTATACAGTAGCGACCTTAAATTAAGTAGAAAATTTCGGGTCGTTACATCTCCCTTATGTATCATATGATCATAGGTACATCAACTCGTGGGTTACTATAGAAAAAAAATGACATTTTGATACCGTTCACATTTAGGTCTCACAATATATATGGTAAGTATTTGATTATGCCTGCCAGATTAAAGAAGTTAATTATTGAATATTTTTTAAAAGAAATTATTGCTTATAAAATATAAACATTCACAAATGATTTGATTGTTTATTATCCAATTCAATTAATTTTTTGAACTAAAACATAAAAAATTGATTTTTCATAATTAAATATTCTTAAATATAAATTATAAAAATAGTTAAATATTTTTATGTAATAAAATAAAATTATAAAAAAAATAATGTAAAATCATTTTTCTATTTGGTTTATTTATTCTAGATCTCAAGTTTCCATCCTTATCCATTTTAAATTCTTAAATTTAATAAAAAAATCATTTTAATTTGTGATATGACTTTTTAATACGTTATTTAATAAGAACTCAAACATAGCTTCATCTTTCTTTAATCAATATTGCAATATTACACCAAAGCAATACTCAATATAAAATCTTTTTAAAATAAGAACTCAAACATAATTACATATATAAAATATTAGAATACGTGTATATCAAGTCATTCATTATTTTTTAGTATATGATTTAGAAAAACTCGTCAATCTAATCCAACCTGTATAATTTGAATTGGATTACGAACGTATTTGAGTTGGATTAAATTCAAATAAATGAAAATTTTATGGATGAAGTTGGTTAATAGATTTTCTAAATTAAATTGAACCGAACCAACTCGAATTTAGTACAACTTTAAAATATATATTTTTACTTATGATACAATGATATATACATTTATTTACTTTGTTTTTATTTAATTAAATGATTTATCCTCCAACTATACTTTAAATAATTTTTTTTAACTATTTAGAAAAAAATATTAAAATTGAGTAAAATGTTTGAAAATAAATAAATGTTTTTTTCTCACTAAAATTTAGTTTTGTCTAATAAAAAAAAATGAATAAATGATAGAACAATTCAAAAAAGTTTATTATTAAGTTTGTTTTATTGTTTAAGGCCAGTTGTTTGAGTTGAAAAGATTTACAATCACAAATATTGAGTTCAGTCTAAAAAATGTCTTGATCCCGTCTAATTTAGAGTTAATTGAGAAAGAAATTCTTGCCAAATTTAAAATAATATTTTGAGTTTTATTCGAAATGAATTGGAAGTCATATTAGCTAAGCATCGAAATCTTTTGGAATATGACTTCCAATTCCAATCATAAATAAAAATATTTCAATTAATAAATTAATGAGCATGTGGCTTTCATGCTCTCTCTTAAATAAAATTTTAATTAATAAATTAATTGAGAATAATTTCTGAAACCACGAAAAGTAGAAAAAGTTCTCTGTAATTCCACGGGTCAATACAAAATCGTGATGCTAACTATTAGAAGAGTAATATCATGTATCATCATGTCAATTGAGGCAAGGTATCCCACCAATCGAGGCGAGGAATTCTAAGCTCATGGCATAACAAAATGGAAGGAAGGTCTAGGGTGACTTAAGGCATCAATATGCTAGGCTCGGTCTATATGCCTAGTTCCTTGACATGACCTATGAATCTCTGCCAGTTAGCTATCCAATAATGGAGATGAGGAATTGAAGTTGGTGAAGGGATGAATTAAGAATATTTTAAAAATTTAAGCAATTTCTAGAGCACTCAAAGTCGACGGATGATTAAGCTGTAAAAAGGGAACGAGGGGCTTTCATTTAACAGCAAGAACTTGAGTTGATGATCACCTAAACTCAAGTTATAAACAATTCATTTTTTGGATTCAAGCTCTCGATTTTCATAAAAATAATAAAAATTGGGAGCTCCTATAGACCCTAGATTTCTACTTAAACATAAGGTCGCTATTGTATACATACCATGAATATTTAATGTGGAAATACTTCATTTGAAACTTTATAATAAAATTAACCTTGGTGTTATATGTTTCATCCGGTAAACACAACTAACCTATACTAACCTATAGTCGACTAAATTCAAATTACGAAATTGTATTAGATTATTTAAAATAAAATTCAAATGAAGATGAAACTTGGATCTTATGCTAATTCTTCATTTTTTTTTTCATTATGTATTTATTTGTTTATTCAAATCATCATCGTGGATAATATAAGATTTGATAATGATCCGTATTTGTTTAAGTTTTTTCCTTTATATATTTCCATTGGATCTCCAACATTTGTCTTCAACAAATCAAAACCAACTCGCATCCTTCTCCCTGTTCCACATTTGTAAGGCTCTATGGCTTCTTCCATTTCTCATCAAACCAGAGAGGCCATGCCTATCCAACAACAATCTCCTCCTCAGTTCGAGCCATGGCACAACTTAAACGGCAAAGTCGTGATGGTGACCGGAGCCTCTGCAGGCCTCGGCCGTGAGTTCTGTCTTGATCTAGCTAGAGCTGGATGCAAAATCATTGCTGCTGCACGCCGTCTCGATAGTCTCCGATCTTTATGCGATGAAATTAATCGACTCGATTTCTCAGCTTTGTCGGCCTCTTCGATGGCGATGGAGAGCCCCCGAGCTGTGGCTCTAGAACTTGACGTTACTGCTGATGGAAAGACCATTGAGAAATGCATAAAAAAAGCTTGGGATTCTTTTGGCTTCATTGATGCCTTGGTTAACAACGCTGGGTTAAGAGGTATTTAACCTAAACTCTGGTGGTGGTTTTTAGTTTTGATTTCTCCAAAAGGCCTCGTACTAGTGGAGATAATATTCCTTATTTATAAACCTATAATTATTCGAGGTTGGATTCCTCTCCCAACAATCCTCCCCTTGAACCAAGTACACCGTAGAGCCTCCCTTGACACCTGTGGAACCCTCGAACAGTCTCTCCTTAATCGAGGCTCGACTCTTTCTCTGGAACCCTCGAACAAAGTATACTTTTTGTTCGACACTCGAGTCACTTTTAACTACACCCTCTAGGAATCCTCCCCTTGTACAAAGTACACCATAGAACCTCCCTTGAGGCCTATGGAGCCCTCGAATAGTCTCCTCTTAATCGAGGCTCGACTCCTTCTTTGGAGCCCTCGAACAAAGTACACCCTTCAACACTCAAATCACTTTTGACTACACTTTCGAGACTAGCAACTTCTTTGTTCGACAGTTGAAGATTCAATTAGCATGACTAAGTTAATGACATGACTCCGATACCATGTTAGGAATCATGACTCTCCACAATAGTATAATATTGTTTACTTTGAACATAAGCTCTCATGACTTTCTTTTTGATTTCTCGAGAAGACCTCGTACCAAGGGAGATGTATTACTTATTTATAAATGCATGATTAACCCCTAAATTAGCCTTAACTGTTGTTACCATACAGATTTGTGTCTACTTTTGATCGTTAAAATAACCATTTCATGATAGGTGCGGTGAAGTCCCCATTGAGACTAACAGAAGAGGAATGGAGCAAAATAATGAACACAAATCTTAGGGGATCATGGTTGGTATCAAAGTATGTTGGCATATGCATGCGTGATACCAATCGTGGTGGATCCATCATCAATGTCTCTTCAATGGTTGGTGTTAACAGAGTGCTACAACCTGGAGCTCTAGCCTATGCTGCTTCAAAGGCTGCCTTAAACACACTAACAAAGGTATAATTTCTTGTATCAACAAAGCCCTTTAATTTATAATTTAATTCTAGTTTATCTATGGTAACAGGTATTCGCCATGGAATTAGGAGTGCACAACATTCGAGTGAACTCAATATCTCCTGGATTGTTTAAATCTGAGTATACGGAGGAGCTTATGAGAAAAGATTGGCTTAAAAATGTAATACGTAGAACCGTTCCTTTACAAACATTAGGAACTTCTGATCCCGCGCTAACAACACTCGTTCGATATCTAGTGCACGACTCGTCTGAATACATTTCGGGCAATATTTTCATTGTTGATGCTGGAACTTCTTTACCTACCATCCCAATTTTCTCATCACTTTGAAGATATATTCCTGTTTTACCTTTGTATTGTAACTATAGACTAAGCTCCTTCTCTATTAAATAATAATAACAAATAAATTAATTAATTCAGCTCTCCATTAGAAAATATTCATCTAATTTTTTAGAAAGGAAAAATTATAATTCAATTTTCAGAAAAAGAAAATATCATAATTGTAATTTTAAAGTACATATAAATCTAATTATGAAATAAAATATCATAATTCTAATTTTTAATTAATTTTCAAATATAACATTTATATTTAAATTAAGATATTTACCCCATCAAATTTTTTAAATAAATTATATTTAAAATGTGGAAAAAAAAAAATATTAAAAAGTATATTATTTTTATTAGCAAATACTCTAATCAAATTTTTTTTAATAAAACAAATATATTAATTTAACCTATGGTGCGATTTTAAATTAAATGACATTTTATGCAACAACCCTAAAAAACATACATCAACATGTATAACGAAAAGAACCAAATTGAGCGAATAAATAGATAAATAAATAAATAATAGGGTAGGTTGAATATTTTCTAGAAGATATTACTGTGGGGCTCGTCCTTTTTATTTAATATTAAATTTGAATTTTTAAAACACTACGTAATTGCTTATGTATTTAAATATGGAAAAAAATAAACCTATGCTAGAAATAATAACTTAAAAAAAGTAATTATAGAAAGATAAGGAAATTATTTAGCAATAATTAGATTGAGTGATGAAATTATTTAATTTGAGTTGAGTTAAAATAAATAAAAATTTATATATTTGGTTGTTAAGAAATACATTTACTTATAATGTAAATATATAAATATATATTTATTTTATTTTTATATTTTTTTATTATTTATTCTCCCACTATTTAAAAATATTCTTTTAGAATGAAAATTGATGCGTCGACTAATATGCAAAAATTAGATCTAATGACTTGTGAAATTCTACATCGGTTGGAGAAGAAACAAAACATTATTTATAAACGTGGGGAAATCTGGCTAGCAGACATGTTTTAAAACCTTGAGGTAAAGTTGAGAAGGGAAAGCCCAAAGAGAACAATTTTTGCTAGTGGTGGACTTGAGCCGTTACAAATGGTAGTAGAGTCAGACATCAGGCGGTGTGCTTGCGAGGACGCTGAGCCTTGAAGAGAGGTGGACATCGGACAGTGTGCTAGCAAGGACGCTGGACCTCGAAGGGGTGTGAATTTGTGAGATCTACATGATGGGAGAGTATCTCTCTCCTAACCAACCATAGCAACATCTCTAGCTCGGTCAACTCTCTTGCATATTCTTGTTTACGATAAAAGTTTTCCTTACATCTTAGCAATTATACACAGTACTGTATAAATTCTCCATTCGATTGGTGAAGGAAGGATTGTCTTCTACATCAGTTTCAATTGGTGAAGGAAGGATTGTCTTCTCCATCAGTTTCAATTGGTGAAGGAAGGATTATCTTTAAGATGAGATCGTCATAGTAAGTTGATCCTTCAAAAAAAAATTCTTTTTTTTGTTGTTTTTTTTTTATCAAGTTGCACCAACATAAACAACAATTGTATTATGCGATCCAAGCAACGAAATAATATTGGCATAAGAGTTAGGAATTGAAGTTACTAAACAAATTAGATGAATGTCTTTAATAGAGTGAATATACCGATCCTAAATTTCTACTTACCTAGAATCACTACTAATGTTTCCGGCTAAGCTCATATGCAGAATATAATTCTTAAAATGACATCATTTTTTAGCATAAATTTTGAAGGAAAGAAAACAACTTCATGTTTGAAAACACCGTCATAGTCTTGCGTGTTCAACAATACTGAAAATGCAATTAAAAACAAATATGAAATAATTTAAAAAAAATATAAAATGCAAGCAACCTATTGTAACCTAAGTCTAAGAATTTAAATATGTTTCTATCCTATGCACGTGTCATGACCTTTACTTACGATGCCACCGTCAATCGTACATGGGCGCCTTACCTTTACCTGAAAAATGATGTAACACATGGCCTAAATACTCAGTAAGTGACCCCACTATAGGGCACATGCAAAAATGCAAACACATGCAACTATGATCTAGGAACCTATCATTAAATCATCCTAGGGGTGACCTCTCGTCCGGACTAACTTGGATGCATAGTACATTCCTACACATGACCTCACACATGCGAGTGTGAATCTCCAAGCATTTTATACCTCTCCTAGACCCATCATCGTCGAGCTAGCTGTCCGGAGGTCAGCCGACTCCAGGGTGTCTGCTCAACATGATCACCGTCATCATCATAACGTGCATGTCCACACTCATCATCATAAAAGGGGAAGTATCTCAATGTGTATGTACACACAAACATGCATGAGGTCCCTCTATTTCTCGTCTTTAAAACACCTTCCTGACACAACCCTAGTCTCATCTCTATATTACAATTAGAAATACATGTGCAATAGTTATTCATTTTAATGTCGTTATTCATACTCTGTAGAGTTGTATCCTAGGTCGATTTCTCGACATGATGCAACATGAAATTCATAACATACATCATGTTTAATATGGAAAACATCATCATATTAAGGTAACAACACCATGCATCATAATCATCATAAATCGTCATCATAATGCCATCAAATACATAATAATCATCATTCACATCAAGCATCATCATACATCATCATATAACTCATATATGGCATCATACGTCATAACTCATACATCGTACGTCATACAACAACAAGTCTCTAGCCTATCCTATAGTAAGGTCACTTACTTGGTTGTCCTTAGCCGGCGTTCTCCCTAATTATTATATGATAGCTCCTGTTCCTCGAAAGCTGCTCCAAGTGTCGACGGGGTTCGTTTTCTATTAGATTGTTCGTCACCTTTCGTTAATATTTCACAATTAATAATAATTCTAATTGATATTTGTGAAATACAGCATTAAAGGGACCTCAGTTACCTAATTGGGGCAGAAAATAGGTTCGAGAGGGTTGGAATGGTGGAAATTGTGCTTAAAAAAAAAAAGGAAACGTGAGCCAGAAAAGCCAAAGGAGTCATGGACAGCCGAGTCGAGCCGTCTAAGTCGACCAAGCCGAGGGAGTCGTTCGCTGCATGCATGCCACGTGGCGCAACACGAGTCTGATGCAGGGAGTTAAGTTTATGTTTGTAAAAAAAAATAGGATGGATCGATGCGTTTGTGCATCGATTATAGGGATTTAAGTAAGAGGACAGTAAAGAACAAGCATCCACTTCCACGTATAGATGATTTATTCAATCAACTAAGAGAAGCAATGGTGTTCTCCAAGATAGACCTTCGGTCACGATATCATCAGATCAAGATCAAAGAATTGGATGTGCAGAAGACATCTTTCAAAACAAGATACGACCACTATGAATTTGTTGTCATGTCATTTGGACTTACTAATCTCCTATTGTGTTCATGATGTTGATGAATCGAGTATTCAAGAAGTGCTTGGATACATTTATCATAATGTTCATAGACAATATTTTAGTATACTCTAAAACGGATCAATAACACCAGTTGCATCTTTGAAAAATCCTGACCATCTTGAGGAATAATAAGTTATATGTTAAGTTCTCCTCGCTTGAGAAATTTTAGTTAGGGGAGATTTCTATTTTAGGACATTTTGTGTCAAAGAATTGTATTCGGATAGATCCTGCAAAGGTGGGAGTAGTCACTAAGTGGGCTCGCCCGACTATAGTTACTAAGGTACGTAATTTATTGGGTTTGACAAGCTAATATCAACGCTTTGTACAGATTTTGACAGGATAACCTCATCGACAACATGTTGTATCAGAAATAGTGTTCCATTCGTATGGACCAAGGCTTGCAAGGCTGACTTGTCATTGCCAATACTCACAACAATTGAAGGAGCCTAATTTAATTTTTTTGGTTTAATGCATGTAATATACATTAATTATATTAATTATATTAAACGAGAAAATAGATTTTATTTGAAATGTTTAAATTAATATTATATTTGATACGATTAAATATTAAAATAATTTGATATTTAAAAAAAATAAATATTTGTAATTTGAATCTCGAAATGTTCAAATTAATATTATATTTGATACAATTAAGTATTAAAATAATTTGATAATTAAAAAAATATATATTTGAAATATGAATGAGATTCAAATTAATTAAATATATATTAAGATATCTTATAATATTATATTTTTTAAATATGATTTGAATAAAATATTATATCATAATATATTAGATATTTAAATATATTATTTGTCAAAGATTCTCGACACTTGAATTGAGCAACAAGTAAATTGATCTCACACTTTCTGAGAGTAAATTGATCTCATACTTTCTCTCGACAATGAAATTCGGTTTAGAGAATTATCTTGAAAGTCTCCTTCTCCAATCTCTTTAGGATTTTCTTTCAACAGCCTCTCACTACCATTGACTTTGTGTTCAGAGTCATAGCAAGAAGATCTCCTAGTGGAAAAAATTCTACTCTTTCTCCAAATTTTTTTTGGTAGGTCCATCTCGTTTCTAGAATCATGAAAATAAAAAAAATAAAAAAAAATCAATAACCAATATAAAAGGAGTTCTATTTGATATAATAATAAATAAATAATAATAAATAAAAAAAAGCTAAGAGATGTCTAGTTTTGGGATGACGTGGGTCGTTCAATTGAACCGACCACGCCATCATTTTCTTCCCCATAACCGGGGAAGAATATTTGTGACCATTGCGAGATGCCTCTAAGACTTGCGTTCTCCAACTCTCTACAGCTATCTTTTGGCCTCGGATTTTCATGAAACTGGAAGATGATGATTCAATAAACAACTAGGGACTAACTTCATACCTTTTAGTGAACGGTAGCTTAAGTTATGACCCACGAAACTTCACCAAAAAATATGTTGTTCGTCGGATAAAAAGCTAGAAAATGTTTTATGGGTAGGGACATTCTAACATTTATCAATCCTTGTTTCCCTCAAGCTTAAGAAATCACTTTGGAAGGATGACTTTACG